GGGGTATTCTGCTGCAGCTCAGAAAGTGTAGGGGCCACTGTAGAAACCTAAGGATAATATCAAATAGGAATTTCTCGAGATTTATGTGATTGTTGAGAGCGAAATTATAAGTTGAGATTCACATGCTTCGACCTTCACCGACAAACAAATCGTTAAAATATAAACGTTGACTCAATTGAGGATTACAATAAATAACCAATTTCACTTTTGGATTCAATTTTGACTCAAATCAATCAACGATTTGTGATTAATCAGAATTTATAGTCTTATAATTCTTTCTGATCTGAGGATATATCAAATCTTGATATTGAAAAATTAATTGCTCATATAACATAAATGTATCTGAAGGCCAATTAATTTCAAAATTTAAATGGCATGAAAGATTCATTTTTGTAGATAACCCTCCAAGAAATATAGTGAAAGCATTTTGTACTTTTACGGTATTTTCTATGCAATTATACCAATTAGTAGAAGCATCCCGGCCTTCGGGCCGGGTTTTCTTAGTCTTTTAATTAAAAAAAATATTATCTTTATTTAAAATATAAGAAATTGGTTAAGAGATGTTATATAATAGGAATTAATAAATTAAAATATTATATATTTTGGTTGTTAAATAGTAATATGTTTAAATTTTATATAACGCGCATTCATAAAATTAATTATGATATATTTAACCTGTTCAAATTATTCAAATTATACTTTTATTTTTAGTTTTGCTCTGCGTTTTATAACTTAACTTTTTGATTTTATATTCTAATTTTAGTTTTATAAAAATATATAAATACTAGATTAAAAAAGTAATAAAGGGAGATGAATTATATTTAGAAAAACCATTATTAATTATATTCCTATCTTTTCAAGGAGCCCCGGCTCCGGGTAGACTGGAAAACCATGTTTGGATAAAAAATTTCTTCAGATAAACTAATAAAACATATGGCCAAGATAGATAATGTTGATATGATTTTAAAAATAATTCTACTCCATTTATGAAACACACTTTAGATATGCAACTTTATGTGATGACCAATGATTAATATCTAACTTAATGTGATGACCAATATCTAACTTAATGTAATGACAAATGACCAATAACTAATTCAATGTGATAACCAATAGGTAACCCAATGTGATGACCAATATGTAACCCAATGTAATGACCAATATATAACTATGTGATGTCCAAGAACCAATATGGAAGTTGGACAATAGGCTATGAATTCTATATAATGAAACCTATGATGATTTACAAAATATTCTAAATCCACGTAAGAAGAAAGGTTATTATAAATTAAAATTTCATTCCAAGAAGAGTCATAACTTATGGTATAAATAATTTAATAAAATAACTTAAACGTAAATCAATCATAATGGACATATTTGAATACATAAAAAGCCTTAAAAAATATTTACATAATAATGAATTAACAGTTGAATTTCTTAGTAAAATGCCTATTGATATTTTTCGTATTTTTGATTTTTTTTTATTATGACCAATTGCGGAAATTAACTGAATTACCTAAAGATGAATTCTTAGGTATAATTAAAAAATATTACAAAGATAAACCATTAAAAATCCTAAAAAAGAAAACAAAACTATAATTTCAAGTCTAAATCAAAATGTAATTGAAACATATAAATTAAAAGATATAAATCATAAGATTGAATTTAAATAAATATTTGTGATAAAAGAAGTTAACGATACAAATATTAAAGAAAATTATAAAATAAAAAAAACTCTTATAAGTAATACTAAATGTGATAAAAAAATTTTTTTTTTGAATCTTAAAACTTTGAAGACAAATAAAAGTATGTAAAAACTAAATGTCTTAATTTTAGAAAAATAATGTGAAGAAATTATTTTTTACTAAAAGCAATGATGATCCAATGAAGAAAATTATTATTTTAAAACACTTTAAATTAAAAGGGTGTGAAATTTGAACTTTTTTTTTAAAGAGAGGGAAATGTGCATAATATTTTATTTGCATATTTTAACCTCAGTGAAAATATTAATATATAAATAAAAATAAATTCGACACTAAAACGCGAAAAATAAATTAAACACTATAACGTAATAAATGAAAACGCTAAAAATATTATATAACAATCTTATTGATTTATCATTCTTCACTTATTCTTATATCCAACTTGATCAATTTTCTAATTATTCATGACTTACTGATGATGATAACAATTTTGAAAATTGTTAATAATAACGACTGAGTACTACAAGCAAGTAGACCTATAAAAATACGAATTATGAATAATAAAATGATTATTCGATTCAATTCGAAAATTTTATTTAACCGTAAATTAAAAAAGATAGCATATTAAATTTATTTTGTAAAATTTAACTATGGATAAAAGACAAACAAATTTTATTAGTAAGATAATATAGAAGCATACATATAGAGTATATTTATATAAAATGTAGAAAAATCAATATAATATTCATATCATGTACAAGACAAATATACCAACAACAAATTTTTTAAACATAAAGTTTTTGCAAAAAGTCAAATTTATGATTTCTCCATCATCAAACAAAGGAGAAATATCTGATTCGCCCGTCATTCTTGACGGGATAACTACTAGTTATTAGAAATTACATATAAGAATATAAACTTTCTTCGTCCATCATAAAACAATTTTAGGAAGTTAATTTTGTATTATTATTCGAATAAAAACAGCCGTTAACAACATTTAGAAATATAAAATGTTTCTTCATTATTCCACTAGAAAATTTTATTAAATAGGAATAATTGCAAATAATTCCTATTAATAATATATGATTATTTTTCGATATTTATTAATATAAATTATTTAAATCGAATAATCTCGAATAATAGATAAAAAATTATTCAACGAATAATATATTTTCCTTATTCGAATTCGATTCGAATTTTCGAATCGAATAATTGTGTTATTCATATTCGTAAAATACGAATCGAATCGAATCAAATCGAATCAAATCGTATCGAATATCGAATAACAAATAATTCGTTTTAGGTATGCAAGCAAGCTACATGACAAATTCACGATTTATGAGGACAACTTACGAGAAGGAAATCAAGCTTACGATTTGAACAAACCGACGTACAAACACAACAAATGATTTGGATAAGATAGCTTACTACCTTAAGGTACTACCTATCAAATTTGAATTTTGTTTATTTTTCATTTGGATAGGCACTACCAAATATATTTATAATATATATTTGAAAAATCTGATTTTTGGAAAGCCTCTATGGCCTAGTAGTCAAGAGTTAAGTTTACTGATCCCATGGTCACGGGTTCGAATCCCGGAAATTGTCAAGTTTTTTTTATCTTACTTGGTGGTTCCATCCTTGGGGGGATGATATATAGGAGGCCGGACCCGACCACGTGTCTCCGTTATAATATATTAAATAATAAGGGTCTTATTACATTTTAATAAATTTTGGACGGTATTTAGCAAATTAGGTTGGTATTTAGAATATTTCCATACATTCACTTGGTAAAGCATCATTAACCATATATTTAATTATTCAAATTATACTTTTATTTTAGATTTGCTTTTCGTTTTATAACTTAAACTTTTTATTTTATATTCTAATTTTAGTTTTATAAAAATATTTAAATGCAAGATTAAAAAAGTAATAAAAGGGAGATGAATTACTTTAGAAAAACTAATATTATTTTCGTATCTTTTCAAGAGATTATATCAAAAAATAAACTTGGAACAAATGGAAATATATTTTTATTAGTTTATATAAGATATAATAACATATATAAACATTAATACAAAAACGTGGTAATAATTTATTCCAAATAAGTATAAGAAATTTCTTTATAAAATATAAGTAGACATATAGTTGTTTCTATATGTCTATTATATAGAATTGGTTACAAAATATTAGGTAAAATGCCACTTTTAGAGACATTTTAATAAACTTTACTAATCAATGTTTTTGATAATAAATATAAGCAGCTATTTGCATTCAATTCTTTAAAGCCATCTATTTATTTATATAAAAAATGATATTAAATATTATTCATCCCACATGGATGTACCTTATTAGATATTGACGCTACTGAAATATTGAATTATTTTTTTTCATTTACATTCTTTAAAAGTATTTTATGATGTCCATATCAATATTTTATAGTCTTCTGTAAAATATATAATTTTATATTGGTAAAAATTATTTGATTGTCATACGATAATAGATAAAATATACTGTACTACGACACAAAATATTCCACTGTTTGTATTGTGCATTAATTTTTTTGATTTATTTAATTTAATTTTATCAATAATTTTATAATTATAATTTACTTTTATTATGATAAATAAATTTTACTAACTCTATAAAAAAATATAATTGATATATTATTCTATAAAAAAATATAATTGTTATATTATTTTATTTAGTAATTTTATGTATCTATTAATATATAATACATTCCACTTTTGTCTTAAGACTTATCTTTGGCTTATATTTCATTTTTGGTTTCACTTTTTTTATACATAAATGCTTTTCCCAAAAAATTTTGAATTATAATAAATAGTTTCAGTTAAAAAAATATTATCTATTACATTCTTTTCATTTTCGGGGGACAGGGGGTGGGGAGAGGACTAAGGTGGATATTTTTTATTAGCTTAAAATGATATTCACAAGATAAATTTCCGAAGAGGGGGGGTTTCACTCTGCCCCCCCCTTGTTATATTTAGTAAAAAAAATGAATATTTAATTTTTAAATATCCCAAAAATAAAGCTTTAAAGTTAATAGTTATAATTTTTAAATTAACCATTAATTCTTAATTTCATATAACAGCATAACATGTCACGTTTTATTAACATGACAGTTAATCAATCTTATGATTTTAATTAAATTTGATATTTTAATATAACAAAATCATGTAATAAGGTAAAAACTCAACTTTTATATTATGCGAATCAAAAATTTTGTAATTAATGTGATTATTATAAGTATATATTTTAGCCCATTCTTTTGTAAAAAAGAAATCGAATTTGATATTACGGAAAGGCAATTAAATAATGGTTTTTTTGGAATCATTAGAGAAGATGAATATTTAGTTCAAATAACTCCATCCATTCGAGTTATTACAAAACCAGGAGTTAAAATATGCTATTATGAAATTGCAGTTTTTAAGAACATATCACTTCCATTCCAAATACACATTAAAAATAAAATAACAGGACTTGCATCTATTGTAGCTACTGAAAAACTTAATTGCCAACTTCATCAACAATATGATTTTAATATTACTGCAGTTAAATGTGAAGGAAGTCAACCAAAAATGTATTCTCAAACTGTTCCAGTTCACATTCAAGTTTTAGATGTTAATAATTATGATCCATATTTTGAACAGCAATCATATAATGTTGAAATGGAAGTAGGTAAATTTTATAAAAAAATTATACAGCTGAAAGCTATTGACAAGGATTGTTCATATGATTATAGCTCAATATGTTCTTACACATTCATAAGAGATCAGACATTTGAAAAACATGATAACAATAGTGTGCACAACATATTTGAAATAAATAGTGATGGTGTGGTAAGGAATATTAAACCAGTGATTTATGATATAGGTAAAAGCATCATACTAAAAATTATAGCAGAGGATTGTGGTGGAAGAAAGTCAAAACCTGTTCTATTAATTGTCAAAATATTACCAAATAATACATGTTCTAACTCTTGGACCTATTTATCAAATAAAAAGTTTTATACACCTCTAAATGAAATCATGGAAATTGTACCTGATGCTAGATTGCATATTTGCCAAATACAAGATTGTGAGGTTTTGAATTTTGATAATACATTTTTTTAGAGTTTGAGAATAAACAAAAAATCTTCAAAGATTTCTGATCTCTAAAAATGAAGATTTTTTAAAATAAAGATTTTTTTCAGGGTGCTTAAATAAAATTTTAAAAATTTCACCTAAAATTGCAATTTTTTTTTGTAAAAAACATTTAGTGATTTTTATTAATAAAAATTTTCATGATGAAATGATAAATTTATTTAAAAAGGATCTTGATCTTCTTTAAAAATAAATCTTCAATTTTTGCTCAAAATTTTATAAAAAATTTTCATGATGAAATGATAAATTTATTTAAAAAGGATCTTGATCTTCTTTAAAAATAAATCTTCAATTTTTGCTCAAAATTTTGGGGCAAATCTTTAATTTTATATATTAGAGAAAAACAATGATAGTCTTATCTTTTAACTTAAATTATTGTAAAAACTATCTCTATTTATATTAATTTAACTATTATATCATTTAATATAACCAAGCCCCCCCCCCCAAAAAAAAATCCCCACTCAAATTCAGCCTAGAAATATATAATGTGGATATTTTTAAAATAATGTATGGGTCTGGTTGTAAATGAATATTTTTTTCTAGCTAAATGAGCTGAATGGTAGAGATTTTCAAAGTTAGGCCTGGCTCGTACCCAGAGTCCAGTTCAGCCTGAACGGGCTTTGGGCTGGGCTCAGGCTTAATTCTATTAAAAATAATCAAGTTCAGGCCGGGCCTAATATTTAAAAAAAAATTTGGGTCGGGTTGAGTCAGACCTTGAATTTTTTTTAAAATATATCTTAAATTTATCAATTTTATATTGAATTTTATATGTAAAATAAAATATTTAATTTTATTTATTGAAACAAAACAACATAACATATGTCTTTTATTTTGAGTAATTATAAGGATTAATTTCTATATTTAAATAAATTTGAACCGGGCTGAGTCAGTAAATTTTTTTAAAAAAAATTTCAGTTCGGGCCAGGCCAGGCTTGAAAAATTAGGCCCAATGCAGATCACTACTGAATGGGTCTATATTCATATGGCTGATTATAACTCAAAATATTTTAAAATCATTTTCTTGTTTATCTTGTTTTTTAGAAATTTTTTAAAAAATAATAATTCGAATTTTTTTAAACATGACAATTACATATAAATTGAATATTGAATTTTTGTTCATTTTATTTATTTTTTATTATTAAGAAATTGTGTATAAGATTGAAAATATTATAATTATATGATAGTAATGGAATGGATCAGGGTTTTTTAGTAGCCCAATCCAATTTAAATAAACTGTAAATAGACATAGGCCCCTATTGTAAATTATTGAGATTGGATGTATATTTATACTAAATCTAATGAAGGTCAACAAGTACCAATTTAACCATCTCTAGAGCCAACCACATTAAGATTGATTATAGAAACAAAATGGGATTTTATTATTTTATCAACCAAGATCCCTTGGGTGGGATTCTAGAATAGTTCTCAATACAGCTGATTACTTTTTTGAGTTTTTTTAGATTTTAAAGTGGTGTATTTGTATACCAGTCCTAGGTTACCTTTACTAAGAATCTATCCACATTTTTCTTTTCATTTATAATTTTTAAATATTATAATTGTTTTAACTTTTAAATTAAAGTTTAGAAATAAACCGCACCTTTAATAATGGCTGTTATTTATTTTTCCAGTATTTTGTAAATTCAGTATTATTTAAAAATACTTTATCAGTATAACAACAAAGGTTGTTGATATTTAAAAAAAATTATACCAGTATAAATGATTAGATATCAGTATTTTAGTTGTTCTGTATAAACTTTTCAATAAATATATATTTTTTCCAATATATTGTAACTATACTATGTCAGTAAATATTTGTCTTTCTATTATTTTAATTATATACACATGGTAAAATATGTGTGCACGGTTTAATTAATTTGCAAGTAAAATAAATTCACTACTCTCACCTGAGACATCCAGAGGCCCTGAAAATTTGTGACCCAAAAATTTATTTAGTTATAGGCACAATCTGTCCTAGCCTAAAATTAAAATATTAAATACATATTTATATAAAGTTAAATTAAATGAATATCACTTAATTGTGCTCCATTCAAATTTTAGTTGAATTATCTCTTTATTTTAATAAGAGAATCAAAAAACCTTTTATGATCGAGCCTGACATATGGCCCAAGCTCGATTTTGGACCTAATTGCACAGCTCCTTGCCTCATTTTTGATTGAAAAATAGTTTTGTATGCATTTGGGTATTACACTGCTAATAACTCTCCACATTGGATGGTGCTGCAGGAAAATAAATAAAACTAAGATTCTAGACATATTTGAGAAAATTAGCGAGAATAGGAATCAAATCGAATTAGAAATCTCTAAATCCTAGCTCGGTTCGAATTTTTTTAAAAAAAATAGAACCGAGATGGGCTTAAATTTTAAAATATTATACTCAATTTTAATGAATTGATATATTTATAAATTCTAAAGAACAAACTAACATAACTAAATCATCAAATGAGCAAGAAAGTTGAATTTTTCGGCCGACCTTCAATTTCAATAAAAATTTGTAGGCACGTTTATATGTTCTAGTTATATCAAAAACGAAATTTTTAGCTCATTAGCAATTATATTACCTGATATATTAGGGATAAAAGGTACAAAAATCAGCTTTTTTTACTGATGTTAAATAATTGGTTGATTTTAAATTAAAAATAATTCGTTAGTTTATTTTTGGAAAACTGGTAACATTACCAGAGAAGAGAAAGTTCGAATATTGAATCTATTATTAATAACTAAGTCAATTTATGATAATTATGAGGGAAACATCAAAATTAAATATTTTTTAAATATTGGTCATTTTATGTCCATTTGAAAATTTAAAATAAATATTTCGAATATATTATGAATGAAGTCCAATTTTTAAAATTATTATTTACTATTTTTCTAATAATTTCAATAATTAGCGTGGTGGGGTAATTATTTTAAATATTATTATTGATGTATAAAAAGCGTATAGATGTCGCTATATATGAACATTTCATTGCAATAAAAAGCCGTTTTTATCGTTTAAAATCATTTTAAGGCATTATAATTGATTTATGATTAATATATTATGCATATTGAAAAAAAACTTAAAATAATTTTAAACGATAAAAAAGGTCTTTTATTGCATTTAAACGTTCACATATAGTGACATCTATGTTTTTTGATACATTATTTGCGATATTTATTTAAATAATTACCCCGCCGCGCTAATTATTGAAAAAATTATTAGAAAAATAGTGAGATATAGGGCTCTGCCGATCATAAATTTTTCACCGAACCGATATTTATATTGATTTTTATTTACCATCTTTTGTATCAATGTCATAAATATATCAATATTTTTTACTTTAAAAAAAACCAACTAACTTTCACGAATGTTAAGTGTATTTTATTTTTTATAAGTTAATCTTCTCATTTAAAATATTTGCAAAGTTTATGGGTGAATGTAGTGTTGTTAAACAGCTCTAGTTGATTTTTAAAAAGGGGCAAATCAAAATATTATTGCCTATGCCTCGAAATTTCGCCAATAGAAGTCCAAACCTTTCTGATTTCTGTGGTGAAAATCAATAAGCATGTTGGCTAAAATTTTGAGTTATTCGTTTTTAAAATTGGCTAAATCGAGCGGTTTAGCAACACTAACGGAATGTGACTCGTTAGATGTTTTAAAATCCTTTCCTCTTTTCAGGTAATATAACAAAAAATAGATAAACTATTTTTTTATACATTACAACAGAAAAATGTATATTCATTTCCTATCATTAATTTATTATTATGAAATTATTTATAAAGTAAAAAAAATTATATGATTATATATACAATTATAAAATAACCAAAAAAATAATAAAGATCACCCCGATCCGATATTTTTTGAAAACGCTAAATATCTGCTGATCTGGTCCGATATTAAATAACAGCACTAGCAAGAATAATAATAGAAAATATAAATTTGAAAAATTGGAGCTTATAATTTAGTTGAAATATTAATTTTCAAGCTTCAAATCGACATAAGATGACCAATATTTTTTTAAAAAAATTTAATTTTGATGTTTCTCCCATTATTATAATATTAAATTCAATATTCGGAAAATTTAATTTAAAACTAATATTTAACTTGAGTAAAAGGTAAAAGAATCGTTGTACCTTTAATTCCCATTATCTCAGGTAAAATAATTGCTAATGAGCTAAAATTTGAAATTGAAATAGGTCAGCCGAAAGATATTTATGACCTGAAATAACCATAACTCTTAGACAAATTTCATTCTTAAGTTACATACTCGACGAAGTTGATTTCAGTAAAAAATTTAAGCCTGAAAGATAAAGGCGTTTTTCTGAACAAACTATATTTACTGTACAAATTTTTTTTTACTGCTCAAAGAATACTCTATAATAATTTAAATATTGATAAAAAATTTTAAAAATATACTGGACATTTCGTAAAAATGTACAAAAAAGCTTTGTTTTGAAAGCTAAATATTTCTTTCGTCTATAAAATTTTTAAAATTATTTGTAACTGAAAAGATGCATTATTATCATCAACTAAACCGAATTCGCAAAATGCAATTTAGAGGGCTATAATAACTTTTTCTCTTAAGAATATGCCACTTTAGCTGGCCAGTTATGAGCCTCTATATATACTTAATTTTATATAACTTAAAATAAAATTGTTTCTGTCAGGAGCCCCGGAGAGCAGTCATGAAAATAAGAATAGACATAGGAAAAGGAAAAAAAAATTGCATCATTATTGCTATCTGATATAAATTATTCAGCCCTTCAATACGAATTTCATAAAATATTTAATTTTACTCTATTTCTCTAATTATATTTATCAGAGACTTGCAGAGGTACCATTTATAAAGTCCGGCCTTGATTTTTAAAAAAAAATTATTTTCGGCTCGGCCCGGGTTTTTTTCTAAAAAAAATTTTCACCCGGCCCGGATTTTTTTAAAATAT